TTACCCCTCCCCCTATGAACATCAGCAGAGACTGCTTTTTAATGCCAATTGGGGGCACCAACGGGCTATCTCTAGGTGGCGGGCGCCAAGCATGCCCAGGAAGGTACATGAGGCCAATGGGGATTGAACCCAAGACCTCCTGAATGCCACTTGCGTACCTTACCAACGGAGCAAGGTCGGTGGATCGTATGCCTACAATCAAGAGCGAGGTCCCACTAGCAAAGAGGATTGGATTAAGCTCCTGAATCTGGACGTGTTTTAAGCAGAGATTCAGAAACGCAGTTCGATCTCGACTTTCTACACCCTTTGCACGAGCCCGTCCTGATTCAGGCGTTCGATCTAATCCTCTTTGCTAATGGGACCTTGGCCCGGGGGCGTGGTCCCACAAGCGAAGAGAATCGGATCGAATGCTTGCATCTGGACGTGTTTGTAGAGAGGTGCAGAAAATCTAGATTGAACTGCTTTTCTGCATCTCTGCATAAAACACATCCAGATTCAGGCATTCTATCTGATCCTCTTTGCTAGTGGGACCTCCGCCCAGGAGTAGTGGTAGGTAGGTAGTGTGAGGTGATTTTTTTTTTTTTTTTTTTTTTTTTTAAGCAATTTCTGTACTTATATTGCCATCGATCAAAGAGGCCCAGGACCTCACAATTCAACCTGGAGTTATCCTCGCAGCATTAGCCAGTTTCGCTTACAGCTATGGTGACTCACACCTAGGCTGAGAACTTCATAAATTTAAACTAACAACACCTCAATGCATCTTTTTTTTCAATACTTCTATCTTAGGGCCTCGCCGCACGGGACACGAAACGAAAAACGAAACGAGTGCATCTTCCTGAAGAAAATGGCCAGGTTCGTCGGTTTGCTATAAATAGTAACGAGTGTATTTGGCCTCCTTTCGTGGGCAAGTGCACTCGTTTCGTGTGCGGTGCGGCGAGACCCTTACTGCACCCACCTTACTGTGACAAAGAATATTTATGAATCACCTTAACACTGTTGTTGCTTCAAGCTTTCCCCTCTTGTTACTGAAACCACCAGTACTTGGCCCAGCTATCGGCCGCGGAAAAAAATAAAGTAGAAACGTTTCTAGTCGGATGAATTTGGACGCTCCTGTAGTAGCCCGTACGTTTACTAAAATTGTGGCGCGTTAGCGGGCACGATTCTAGGAAGTACTGGTGGTTTAATTCCCTGTGTTCTACCCAATTCTTCTGCTATCCCACTAATACTAACCTAAACACAACCTAGGTTTCGGTCGTTATACCCCTGGTCTAAGAACAACCGGGAGGAACATAGTTCCTTTATCCTATTTCCTGGTGCTCTCCTCCCTGCCCTACCAATTGTAGTCTATTGTGACTGCCTACTGAAACAGAGTGCCCTGGTTAGTGCAAAACAAAATCTGCCACAGGCCTGCAAACCACACAAACCTGGACCCGACTAATCTACTACTACCACCTTCTCCCACAATCTTTTTTTTTTTTTTTTTTTTTTTCCCCCGAACAACCCGGGCAGATGCTAGGGATGATGATAAGAACAGACACCTCTAGCACTGTCGGGGAGGCTCCATCTATTGGTGGGGAGCAGCACCTGCTGGAAAGCGGGTCCAGCGTCCCTCAACATTGTGATTTGTTTGTATGAGCAGACATGCAATTGTAATAACTGCAAGCTACTGGGCGCACCTCTAAGAATGCAGTTTTGGCGGGAGGAGGCACTCAGCTGCCTGAGTTGCTGTCAAGGGTAAATGGTAGTCTACACAGATCTCTTGACTTGCTATTAGGAGTCTTGGCCTTCTGCCCTTCAGCCCCAGAATCAGTCAATGTCCTAAACCCTCCCTAAACCCTTGAACCTTCTACTCAGCGCTACAGGATAACTCTTAGTGCCACAATCCTAATCCCCTAGCCAGTCCGAGAGTTTGAGTCTTCCCCATTGGTCCACTTGGACAGATGTCCACTCCGTGCCCAAGTTCTCTTGAACCACTCCAGTCCGGGCTGTGATGCCCAAACCTCACGCCCGACGCGACTTCCTGAAGGGAGTGGGATGTGGGCCTGGAAGTGCGAAAAGGGGTGTGCCAAGGATTTTTGTGAAAGTGGGGGGGTGGAGTCTCAGGTCGGAACTGAAATCTCCTATGGCAAGGATTCAGGGGCATAGATGCAATAGGACTAAGGGGCGGGTTGCTTCCGGTCTGATGGCGGTTGTTGTCATGCAGCTTAAGGCAGATGGCATGCGCGGTGCATCAAAGGCCATCTGATCCGTCTGTTTTGGTGACGGCGGTTCGGAAGAGGCTCGTGAGGGCTGAGGTTCTTAGAAGTCGGATCTTCGTGGGCAGGCATGTGGCATCTTTCGCCGCGTGTTATAGTTAGGCTCCGTAGTATCTGGTGTTCGGTGGTGGCGGTGTCATCTGCAGTTTTTGCACGGCGTGCGAGGCCAATACGGGGCGATGGAATTCCACTGTACCACAACGAGCTGGTGATACGGGAGGAGAAGACGGAAGGGAGGGAAGTTGGTAGTGATAACGACAAAGCCGGGGGATATGAAGTATTGCGTGTTATACGTAGTTGGGTAATCGGGGCACCTCGGATTGCTGGTTACAGCAAAGCGAAACTCCCTGGGGCACAATCGGTTCTCGGTTAGGCAGGGGAATTCTGGTCGTCTCTGGTTCCAACATCTTGTCATTGCGGCGTAGTGGAAGCCTTTCGCATGCATCTAACTGGCAAGGGGATTTCTCGATGCGATATCGGGAATTCCTATCCGTTTAGGTGCGTGAAGGAAGGAAAATTCCCGCCTATCCGATACCGGAGGTGTCAGATTCGTCAATGGTCGTGAATCGGCGCGCGTAGATACGTGTAGGCTACGCAAATCAGATCGCGCTTACACGTAGCCCTGCGAGGTATTCGCTTGTTTCTGGAAAAATGAGAGTCTAATTCCTCATGCAAAATCGCTACGTGTTGTCCCAATCGTCTAATCACTTACTGATCCGCAAGCAATCATTCCTGAGCATGCAAGGTGTCATTGCACATTAGACATCGCAACAACATCAGAACTCGTATTCCGCTAACAGCATATCACAATGGCAAGCAATGATGATGACCAGATAGGAGAAACGACAAACATGTCATTCATTCATCCATTCATTCGGCAAAACACAGAATAGTTGAGATCAAGGTCAATTGCAAAACAAGTGTGGGTTGAAACCGAGACAAGGATTCCAAAAACAAAAGAAAACGGGCGAGTCGCCCTTAGTCGAGATCAAAATTTATATACAAAAAATAAAGAGGGAGACAAGACAAAGAAAACTGCAAATCCACGTCCATCAACCTCAGCTCCCTCTTCCTCTCTCTCTCTCCCTCTCCGATGCGGACAGTCCGTCGTCACGCACCAACCCACGAAGTCGTCACCCCGCTTAGTCCTCCTGCACCCATCAGGTTCGCCTGCGCGCTACAGTCATAGCCCCACGCGTCAACCCCGCACGTTCGGCACCAGCTCGACGGGTCGCTCGACTCCCACTTCAACTCACTTCTTACTTCGCTCGTGAGCCGACCCTCACTGATCGTGCTACCCCTAGCTTCCAACCACTGGTTAAGAGAGCTATCTAATCGCGCAGCCGGAATTTATAGCGTGCATGCATGCGCAAAGAACACGGAATTGCAAGGACTTAGAAAGGAGATTAGGAGAGGGAGCGCCTACGTTCTGCATGGCCAGACCGCGGTGTGGGGGACGTAGCCACTCTCCACGCATCAATCCGAGCATGCAGGCCGCGGGGCTAACTAGGCACAACAAAAGGGAAAGAGTGGGCGGGAAAGACGAAGCTCAAGAAGAAGGATACAGTTACAACTGCGCCCGCCCAAAATTACAGATACTTGCAAGATTAGGGCGCCGAGTAATCAGAGCTCCGTTGCAGCCGAAAAAAGAAGCGCGCAAGAAAGACAACGCGCGTCAAAAGAAATCCCGAATTCCTAAATTCCTAAATTTATTGCGAAAAGAAATAAAACGCAAATCCCGAAAAGAAAGTCCGAAATTCCGAGAGCCATCAAGGCTCGGCAAGAAAAGAAAAAAAAATTCAAAAAGAACGAAGCAAAATTCCCGCGCGACCTCCGTGCCTAAAACCCGACAACAAAAGAAGAAAGAAGCGACGTCATACATTATTATTCGCGCCTTTGTTGGTGCGACAACCACTCAATCGACCACCTCGGGACTTGCCCGGCCCTGAACCCAACCATTCGAAAAGAAGCGATGAAAAAGAAAAGACGAAGAAGCGAGGACACCGATGCAATTTCCCTTCGATCCCGATCTCCCTTGTTTGGTCAATCCTTTCCATCTCAGGACCCCTCATTGTCATTGCGCAGGAAATCGCGCGGAACAGAAATTGGTTTCTCACATATGTGACGCCCACGGGGTTCCAATCTTAAGCAAGCTCCCGCTTGCTTGAATCATGACACGTGTCGATCTCTCTAATCGATCGACGCGCGGAGCCTTCTTTGTTGCCACTTACCGTTCGATAAGAGTGTGGACGTCATCCAGGGTGGCACACGTGGCTCTATCCTATAATTTCCTCAGGATGGGCTCTCTTCAGTCCAAGGAGGGCATAGTGTGTGCCATCGTCGTGGCACGTGCCAATCAACCGTGCATCAATAACCTAAGGGAAGGGGAAAGGGAAGGCGATACATGGGGGCATGGCAAGAGGGAGGGGGGGGCTAGTCGGGAGTGGGGGCGAGGAGCGTTCCATCCAACAGGTTCCCCGGGAAGGGCAATCTAATTACCGATGGGGGAGGCGGTGGAGGATGCTGGGGAAGACGAGGCATGAAGCGGTTGATGGCCGGAGATTCGAAAGCAGGAAGGGAGGTGTAATGGATGGAGCGATGGATACAAGGGAAACGAGGTTCCTCGCGATGGTGGGGGAGAGAGGCAATATAGTCGGGGTAGATAGTTGAGAGAGTGCGGCGAAGAGCGGTGCGAAAATTCTCATAGTTTTCGCAGGCGGTGATCGTTCCTGATATAATACAATATATTTCTATATGGTTTTATTCCCGCCAATCTGCACTAAACAGGAGAACATGGAGAAGAAAAGAATCTACTACAGAGCGGGTGGTAACATGCAGAAAGACGGTGACTAGGAGGCGGGTGGCGTAAAGGTGGTGGAAGAGGTCGGGAGGAAACTTGAAGGGGCACCATCCAACGGGGAATGGGGGTCTACCCGGGACTCGGGTGACCATCAGAAAGTCAAGGGGACAGCGAGAGAACAAACGGGGACGAAGCTCGATCGCCCTCATGCTGACGTAGGCGAAGGGCAGGTGGGGCAGAGGAACCAGACGAAGTCGGCGATTTGCTCCTTCGGCGACGTCTTCCCGATCCCTCCGCTGCGGCTCCATCGTTTCCTTCGTCTTCCTTCGGGGGCTCTGGATCGAGCCACGGATTTCCCAACGATAGATCCGGCGGGGACCTTTCTTCTACTGGCCGTTTTCCCTCTGCCTTTTCCAACCGTTTCCGTGCTCCTGCCTCTTCTTCTTCCCTGCTTCGCTCGGGCTGCTGACTCGGCCCACCTGCTACCTCTTCTTCTCCTGCTGACTCCTCTTCTTCCTTGTCCTCTTCTTCTTCCTGAATGTGATCAGGATCGTCACTATCTTCGCTCGATTCTTCTTCTTCTTCTTGTTCCTCTTGCCGCGCGTTTCCTTGCCGGATGATGGGGTCCCACACTGTAAGATTGGTGACGTCGATCTCAAGAAAAAGCGCCTGGGACGGATAGACACAGTTGTCGCCGTCCAGCTCAGTACACGTGGACCACAGCAGGCGTGGCTCGAGTGTTTGGGAAAGAGGTGAGTTGAAGTGGGAGTAAGATTTTTATTTTTTTTTGAAACCTTGCAGATTTGGAAGATCAACAACCAGAAATAAAGGATCAGCTTAAGTGGGACTTGGCCGCGGGGGGGCTGTATTGGATCTAGAAAAGTGGTCAGATTCGAAGTTCTCAGATCTACTGCAGGAATCCTATAATTGCTATTGATTGGAAGGGGGTGGCTTCGACTCCCTTCAACTGTTGAAACACAGACCTGAGTTCAAACTCCAGATGAGTAAAATTCTACGATTCTGAATTACCTGGGATCGGGGCCAAGTCCCACTAGCAGTGTTGAGCTACCTCAATGCCTGAATCTGGACGTGTTTGTGGAGACGTGCAGTTCAGGAAACTCAACACCATTTCTGCACATCTCCGCAAAGGCGTCCAGATTCAGGCGTTGAGGTCGCTCAACGCTGCTAGTGGGACTTGGGCCCCTCGGTCAGTTCAACGATGAAAACTACGGCGCAGTCACGGTTAGAGTTTGAAAATGCGTTGGAAACATCGTTTCTGCAGTCCAGTCAGGGCACGGGTTTGAAATGCAGTCGAAACTCAGGTCCGCAGAATAGTCGGGGCGAGGAGTTCGAAATCGCATTCCAGTCAGGCATATGGCCGGTTTTTTTTTTTTTTTTTCGTGCGCCGGGCCAGGCCGCATCGCGGCTGAAAAAAAAAAAAAAACGGCCCCATGGTTGGGCCGTGGCCGAGATGTCTCGGCCACACCCCAGATGGGCCACGGCTGAGATGTCTCAGCCACAACTGAGATTAAACCACCCCTACCTTTTTTTTTTCTTTTTTTTTTTCTTTAAAAAAAAAAAAAAAAAACACCATCTCTCATAAATTTCATGAAATAATTTGAGGCCGGGATCCTCACAATTCAACCCGGTGTACTGAGAGCATTACTCAGCTTAGCTTATCCTGGAGAGAACCAGGGGCATAGATCTCAGGTAAAACTTCAGTCAAAATAATAAAGGTAGCCCGTGAGAGGGAGATGTCTACTGTAGTTTCTCGAACTTAAGGCAATTGCCTCCACCTAAAACGGTCCAGTCTCCCTATCCGAAAAGAATGAGCTCTCTCAGTCCATCAAGTGCAGCCGAGAGCAGAAACTACACTGGCCAAATGGTTCTACTGTGTTCAGTTTGTCGAGCCAATTCCTACTTAGTGAAGTTCTCTAGAATATCTGAGGTATCTTTTTGGGGTTGAGTCTCTTGCTAAGAATCCGTTATGGATCTAAAATAATCAGGTTGCTTCTTCTTTCCTCCAAGAGAACAGAGAAGACTAGCGAGTTCGTCTGGGTAGGAATGGCCCAGCAGAATGGGAGGCTCCATTTAGATTTGAAATTGCGAACCTTATACGCTAAACTAGCCTTAGAATTGCAGACTCTACGCCAATCTGCCAATATAATATCTCTGAGACCCTGAAGCATTAGAAATTGCAGTTTTGGACCTCGAGTGGAAGATGAGCCAAACCTCTGAGAGTTCCTAGCACACTAGAGGATCCACAGACCCAGTGCTCTGGCTATCCATGCTGGATATGGAGCTACACAGTCCTTGTGCCTATCACCTTTGATGAGTGCTTGTCGGTTCCATAGAGTCTCTCCTTCCTCTCCCTGGTATGCCCTGGACCATATCTTCTTCCACCATTCCCAGAAGGCCTGAGCAACGGGGCATTGCCACCAAATATGATTGATGTCTTCAATAGCCTCCGGGGAGCATGAGTTGCAGAACACCGATACTCTCATCCCTTTAGTAACACATCATTTGCCAGTAGGAACAAGCCATAGAAGGCTTGCGTGTTTGACAGCCGGAAGTGCTATGAGGGATTTACCAAAGTTGCAGCAGAGCTCAAAATGTTGAGACGTCATTCCTTCTGCTGCTGCGAAATTGTCCCAGTTCGCCTTGACAGTGTAGAGTAACCTGCTT